ACTTTATTACTTGTACGCGACCCGTACACTTGCGGTATATTTTCAAGCGAACAATCTCCATGATGTAACCAGTCCACGCGGGATCTTTGTTTCCAATAAAGTTCTTCCTTGTTTAACAAAAGTTCCAGTTCACCCTCTACAAACCGAATCTTCTCAAAATTCGTCACAGAGAAATTTTCCTCCTTAAGTCGTTTCAACTTTGAACAGATTGCCTTAATTTTAGCCGAAAGCTCCCTAATATTCCCACCCCACTGGACAAGCCTGTCTCTGCATGCCTCTATTCTGCCAACAAAATTATCAATGCAGTCCCTACCATTAATTCTGTCATTTTCGCCACCCATACTAGCTGATTCTAGCCGCCCTTCAATTCCATCACTGTCCACATGAAGATTGCGTCCAAGGCTCCATCCTTCATGTATGACATCAATGCAACCTTTCTCACTTATTCAGAGTGGCTCAAATTTGAATTGTCGTAATCTCTTGCGCCTTGGAGGCCCCCCACCATTTCACTGAAGGACGAGTTCAATGGCATGGTGATTTGAACCATAGAAGTCGATATGCGAAACCAAAGCCCTGGGGAACAAGTCACGCCACTCCAAGGTGGCCAAGGCCCTGTCAAGTCTAACGAGAATATTATTGTCCACCCGCGAGTGTTTGGCCCACGTGAATTCCGGGCCTGAGAAACCAAGATCACTCAATTCCCAGTCATGTACCATCTCTTTAAAACCCTCCATAGATAATCTGGTACGGTTACTTCATCCCCATTTCTCGTTAGCCATCAAAATTTCATTAAAGTCGCCTATGCAAACAAGCGGTTGTACACAGCCCCCCACCAATCTTCGTAAGACTGTCCAAGAGTTGTGGCGTTCCGAAGCAACTGGATCCCCATAGAAATTGATGAGGTTCCATTTTGATCCACTTCTCTAAGAGACAACAGAATGGAGATGGAATGTTGAAAAGGATAGAAGTTGGACCTCCCACTTCTCTAGCCACATTAACATTAATCCACCGCTATTACCTTTTATTTTTTTGCATTTTTACTCTTATTTCATCTTTCATTGCGGAAATCATCATTTTACTCATTTCCATCCACTTTTTCAATAGAAAGCTGTAGAATGGCCAATATACCCTTCAATTTAAATAAACAAAAAGAAAATAAAGGAAAAATAAAAATTAATTGTAATCATACTCTCAATTTTTTTTAAAAAAATCTGCAAATGAGTCTAAATAAATAATTAAAAATTTGGAAATAGAAATCAAATATCCCTTTCCCCACCATAGCCACTCAAAACTCACCACAACAGAAATATCACAAATT